CTGGCGAAACGTTAGGAAACAAAACTTCCAGAACACGGCCACACAACCCGGAAGACCCACATCAGCCATCTTGATTCTTTAATTCCATCCCATCATTTCACATACTGTAATCCTTTCCTTTCAAATCTTTTACTTTTCAGTGTTTAAATCTATACTGTTTAAAGACAGAGGGATTTTTTTTAAAAAAATGTAAATAATATAGTTATGTGTGTCTGTTTTCTTCCTCTCTTTTGTCTTTACAAGCAGTATCTCTGCCTCTGCCCTGTTTTGGCCTTACTAATAGATATGTTTGTATGTTAGTATATTAGGTTTATTACAGAATTATTACAGAATAGGGATGGAGAGTGAGGTTCATTCACTTGAGAAATCTGCTGTAGAAGGAGGCTCCTCAGACAGATACTATTGCCAAAATATTGTATAATTTGAAAGCCCCACAGTTTCTCAAAATTTAATACATTTCAACTAAATCTAATGTTTATTTATATGCTTACTCATTAGTAAAACTTCTATGATCACAGACTTATAGAATCAGAGTGACCCTGTGGCTTACAAAGTCCAGCAATACAAATCAAAAATTTGTACTGTCCAGCAATACATATAAAATAAAACAGATTAAACAATACACCAACACTAGCAGTTCCAAATAATCAACCTCCAATTACACACAACACCTTTCCTTCCTCATCCAGAATAAATGTCCTCATTATTCCTATACATCCATTAGACTGCAGTTTGCAAAACAGAGAAACATATTGGCAGGCATTATATCATCACCAGTTCTGAATCTATCTGTACCCCATTCTGCCTCCTTTCCCAGGACTTTTGAACCGGGCTATACTAGTAGTCTGTAAAGCACTAGGTCTTATTCGTTTTTGCTGCCACAAGTTAATAGGAGAGGTTATTCTGGAGATGATAGTGTAGTCTTACCAACAATTATAGATTTTCTTTGAGGTTCCCTGGCACACACACTCAGTTCTTTTACGACTTCTTTTTAAAAAGAAAAAGAGAGAAAAAGCAAGCACTCGCTTCAGGCACACGTTCAGCTTAATCAGCGAAGAAGCTCGGAGCGCTGCCTGGGATGAGACTTTTCTTCAGCGCGAAAAGTTGCGAAAACGGGCTTTCGGCGAACAGAGAGAAACGGTACCCTGGACTACAAAACACCCATTACATTTGACCATAGATTGCATCGTCGGTTAAAAGTGAGTTGTGCGAGCTCAGAAATTGGGGTTCAAGTGTGTCGGGTGAAAACAGCCGGTATTCATTCCTTTACCATTCCAAAATATGAGGCTGGGATCGGCGTTAAAAGTTTGCAGAAGTTAAGGACCGGATGGAAGGAAGCTCGCTGCAGATGCACGGAACTGGGCTTACTGGGAGGAGCATCTCCGGACTATTCTGCCCCACCTTTTCCCCTCCCTTTCCCCCTTCCCCACGTATTAATGACATCCGAGGCGTGTGGAGAGGGCGATGCTCCTCCTGGGTGCGCTCCCAGGCGAGCGTCAAGGCACAATGGCGGGAAGGCTTTCCCTCCCCTCGCCACCACCGGCTCCCCCACTTACCTTTCTGGGCCGCCGCGTCCCGTCGGAGCAGCAGGAGTAACAGCAGGGAAGCCACCGCAGGCCGGGTCCCCGGGGGGAGGCGGCGCTCGCGGCCGCTCACCATTTCCCGCGTCTCCTGCACAGCAGCC